CTTCACGCTTCTTCCTGCCTATGAGATGCTCGGCCTGTCCAGCTGGGTGTCTCCAAAATGCAGCAGCACCAGCAGGAAGGAAGCGGAGGCAGCTGGAGCAGAGATAAACACTGTTTTGCTCAGCACAGGCCAGCTTGGACGGCCCCACCAAGTGCTCCCCGGCGGCCCACCGCCTACAAAGCCCAGGGAAAGGTGCTCCTGGCCCCTGAGAGCCAGAGCTGCGGAGGCAGAGGGAGGGTGGACGTGCAAGAGGTGGGGAGTGGGGGTGGAGAGCATCCCTGGCTCCTGGGAGCTGCCTAGCCAGGCAGGTAGGCTCCTCCCTTTGGTTTTCCTCCAGCTTGGACACCGGTGTGGGACAACCGGCTCTTCGGCAGGCTGAAATGCTGGAGAAGAGCTGAGTTTGCTAAATACAGGCAGCGTGGAGAAGGTAACAGGTGGCACAACCTTCTTGAGATCTGCTGCTGTGGATGATCCCTCCTGCTGTCTGCCCCGGCTGGGGTATTGCTGTGCCAGCTGCCCTCAGCTGCAGCCTCCACCCCTCCTGAGGGAGAGGTGACCACTGCTCATGGGTGGGCATCCCCCCTCCCGCCCCGACTCCTCTTGGGTTTATTTATTGCACGAACATAAGTTATTTTCACGTCCTCTTTGCCATTCCGCCTCTCGGCACAGCCAGGATGTTGGTACAGAGCCGTACTTTATATTTTATATATGCAAATCACATTTTATCTTATATAGAGCAAAAAAAAAATACTTATTTATTTTCTGACTTACAGTATGTGTCCTACCCGACTCCTCTGTATTTTGTAGACTTTACAAATAAAGCAAGTTCTTTTTTTTTTCCACAGCGTGAGTGCATTTGGTCCTTCTTCAACTTCAGGACAGAGCTGTGTCTCAGTGAGACCAGGTTTTCTGGCTCCCTCTAGCTTTGCTGTAGGACATGTTGAAGGAAGTGCCCGAGAAATGGGATGGGGGACAGCTCAGGACTTTTTAGGACAAACAGATTTATAGTCTCTGGGGCTCAGTAAACAAGCTTAATGCTGAACATCACCCACCCTATCACCTTCCCCCCTCCCAAAGTGCTTGCTTTCAGAAGTCCAGCTGCACTGAATCAGCTTTTCCTAGGAAAGATCACACCGTTCACTAGAAAAATTCCTTGCAGGCTGCCTTTGGGCCAGTGTGGGAGGGGAGGCAGGTGCAGTCACGGCAGCAATACCCAAAAACTCCCCTGCTGAGTGACCTCACTGCCTGACTCAGGAACTGCAAGGAGGAAAGCAGGGAGATAAGGGCCGTGGGGGGAAGAAGAAGGGGACCATAACCAGAGGTGAAGCCCAACCTCCTCCCTGTGGGGAAAAGCCCTGGTTCCTTGGAGCTGATGTAGAAGTGATAAGCACATTCCCTTGATGCTCAGGTCCCAGCCCCCCAGCAGCTTGCAGTGCTTACATGAAGGTTTGTATATTCGTGTCCCTTCTTACCACTACAAACTGCTCCAGCCCCACCACTCCTCATAGAAGAAACACTGCTGTTTGCTGGGGCTCACATCAGAGAAAGCAGCTCCCTTTCCCCCACAGGTGTTTTGCACTGAGCACCCAAGACCAGGACTCATCTCTACTCCAGGTTTTTGACAGATGGGTGTTGCTCCTGCTTTGGGCCATCAGTGATGTCCCAGCCGCAGGCTGCTGTAGCACTGCTTCTCCATCAGCTCCTGCACACACAGACAGTGTGAAGCTTTCCTCCTGTGAGGGGAGCTCATGAAGTTTTCCTCCTGTGAAGAGAACCAGGACGTGACACACTGACCCACTAAGCCTCAGCCCCTGCAACAGGCAGCAAGCAACTCAAGATCAATTCAGAGAAGCCACAGAGACAGCACCACACAGAGGCAGCATAAGTACAATCTATATTATATTTTTATTTGTCATCATATTTGCTCATTTCTGCAGAGTATAACATCACAAAGACCAAAATAGAGAGAGCGGCTTGTCGCTGAGCTCACATCAGTTAAACACGATAGGTACAAAACTAGGTGACTCTGTCTTATTTATCATACATTTGTTTTTCAGTCATTTATATACAAAGAACTACTCTACATGGAAAAATAATAAACAAATCCCATGGGTATGTTACATGGTAAAGAAAAAGGAAGGAAGGAAGGAGAGGGGAAGCAGGTGAGGGAGAGCAGCTCCATGGGCCTGGAGCCAGCACATTTGTTGGGGCCTTGGGCTACCGGGAGCAGACCTGGGCCAGGAAAGGCCTTGGCTTCCTCGGTCTCAAGCTCTGGGTCTTACGAGACATTTGTTCCTCCAAGCCAGAGCGGCTTCAGAGCCAGTCCTTGCTCTGGCACTTGCCCGTTGTGAAGGAGAACAGGAAGCTCAGAGATGATTTTGTGTGGTGTTAAAAAATATATTTTTATATATATATAAAATTATAACGCATGGCAGCTGGCTGTTGTTTGGGCACTAGTTCTTCACCAGACTTCTCTGAAGGCAGCTAGTGCAAAAGGATTATACTTTAAACCACTACATACAGGAAGCTTCGAGCATATCCAGATCCTCTGCACAGCATATATATGCAGCATACATTTCAAAATAGTTTTTTTAAAAATGCTTCCCCAAGCCTGGATCATCTTTAAGCTCAACAGGGCAAGCCCAGAGATTTCTTATGTCAGATTTCAGCCACCCAACGCAAGAGAGACTGGGGACAGTCAGCAATTCAGTGACACCAGGACACCATCAAGGCCTGCAAATGCAAGAAAAGGGGAGGAAGAGATCATGTCCCATGTCCCACTTTCCTAAGAGAGAGGGGAAGTTTAAAATAAATACGTCACACTAAAGGACTATTCATCAAAGCCATGGAAGATGGAAGGAAAGCCCATTCAACCTTCAGCCGTGCTTTCCAGGTGTCTCACAGCATGAGGAAAAGGAGTTTTACACCAAGCCCACACAACGCCTGGCAGACAGCGTTTGCACGTCCATTCAAGCACTGACAGATTTAGGAAAAGCAGTAACTACCTGTGTGGCATTGCAGGATGTGTGCAAATGGGGAAGTCTAGCAGCAGAGATGCTGCTGGATCCACTCACCCTGCCTCCAGCTCCCTCAGAGCTGGCACTGTTGCTCCCACCTGCTTCAGTGTCCCCCCAGACACGCAGAAGGAGACTGTCCTTAAGCCTTTCCCTATCTAAACCTCACAGCAGGGAGCAAACCTGCCTCTCCTCAAGCCCTTTTCCCCGTGGTCCCAACCACAGGTTTCTGGCAGGGGTGCTGAAGAAATGGGGTGCTCTTCGATCACAGTCACTTCTGAGAAAGTGAATAGGCAAGCACAGAGACTAGGACACGAGAGGAAAAGTACACGCCAGGCAGTAAACCAGACCCCAGCTCTCTTAGCAGAGCAACGAGGGGCAATCTGGAAACACAGAGGTCTGCTGAGGGCAGGGTAGGCATCAAGCAGGAGAGGAACAGAGAAACCACAGCCAAGAACACAGCAGCTTGTTCCAACCTCTCCATTTTGCTTCCAGCTTGGGGGTAGGGGCATCTGACCCATGGCACTAGAGTGTGCTCCCCCCTTTCTTCCCTAGACAATTTTAAGCAAGCAAGAGGCATTTTCTGGTCCCTGGATAGATCTACAGAGGGATCATTTATATTTTGGGTCCACTAAATAAGTGGAGGCCAATTCAAAACCCAACAGCAGCAAGGGAAAGCTTCTTTTCCCACTCCTGTGGATGCTGGCTCCACCCTTGATAGCATCACAGTTGCTGCAGGCCCTATGAAGTGAGCAGCAGCAGCAGCAACTGCTGCCTGCAGAACTGAGAGAACTTTAACCAGCCTGGTTAAAAGGTTAAGGTTCCAAAGTTTGGTCCAGTTCTGCCCAGAACAGCCATGGAGATAAAAAGCAAAGGAGGAGTGTGCAACATCCCCTCCTGGATACTCCAGCCTAAGGGCAAAACTTGTGCAGCTCCCTGGGGAAGTCAGTGATGACAAGCATGGGGAGAGCTGCCTGTGAGAGAGACACCAGGACCTGCTCTGGCAGCTACCTGGTGCAATCCACACCTTTAAGAGGGGCAACTATGTTGGTGGGGGACAGCAAACAAGAAGAAAAAACACATTTTAGTGTTTATATATCTTCGTTTCCCAAAGAGGGATGAAAGGGCCAGAGCTCTACAAACTTCCACCACCACCTATCACAGTCAGTCCTCAGTCTTGTTAGCAAGAGACAGATGCTCCATGGAGGCTTCTTGCCATAGGAACGCAGGGCAGATGGGAAGCTTGGACACCCAGTGATTAGAAAACCCCGCCTTTGTGAGACATCAATTCCACCCAGCTTGACGGGGAGCAGGCAGCAGAGGAACAGGAAGAAAGTCCTGTCCTTTTCCCTCACACTCACTCACTACAGGACTGCACAACCAGGGGCTTAGGAGGGTGGGGGCAGATGTTCCTGACCAAGTATTCGAGGCAATGGCTATAGAGAGACCAGTCTCTGGTCTGGTCCTCAGGAATGCTTATATCACTGCATCCTATCCCCATTTCCCAAGGACCGCAGAGATGTTAGTACCAGGGAGCTGGGGGGGCGCAGACTGTGCCTATATCAACCATTCAGGAAGAGGAATACAAAGCAGTCAGGTTGTCCTGTTGGAAAAGAAAAAAATAACCCAAAAATAAAACCAAAACATTTTTGGCCACAACTCCAGGCTTTGGCCAGTCACGCTCCACACCAAGATGGGCAGGTGTGGGAGGCCAGAGCCCCAAACTTGGGAGCTTCAATTAATTCCAGTCAATTGCTGCCATAAGGACTGGGTTCGAGAATGAAGTCCTGGCCATTCCCCCATCTCCGCACCGCTCATCACATCCATACCCACAAAAGCTAATGGGGAGCGCCCACTTCTGCAATCTGCGCTCTCTAGGAAGTGATACGACTTGCATGTTTCTGCTTTAATAAATTAAAAAAAAAATTAAAAAAACCTAACAATAAAAGAAAGAAAGTAACAGCCTGTGCTGGCAGTTTCATCCTTTTAGAATTCGTCATCAGAGCCCAGCAAGAAGGTCTCCTCGTTGTCACGGGTTCCCGAGCAGCTGTGGGAGCGTGAGATGACGTGGCTGCCGTTGTGCCAGGGTGGACCATGCTCCAGTGTGGACTGCTGGGTGTACTGCTGGTAGGCTGGGGAGAAGTTGTGGATCGCATCCTGGACAATGTCATGGGGGTTCATGGTCTCCTTGAGGCTGCTGGAGATGCTCTTCATGGGAGCACAGCGACCTGTTAGGGTAAGATGGGGAGGAACAAGTGAGCGATGCTGCTGCCTTCCCTCACATCCCTTGACATGAAGGTAAGGAGAAGAGGGAACATGCACTCCTAGATCCTGCAGAAGTTACTTTACAGACTTCCTTAAGCAGCTGCTAAGGAAAAGCCACACAAATGGTGTCAGGTTTTACCAGTAGTGCTCCTTAAGTCCAGCCACTGCTAGCCATGTGAATCCACCTCAGCACCAAAGAGGGACATGCCATGAGAATGGGACATACCCACAGCGACAATCTCCACTACACACTACCTGTGCTGGCTTGGGTGTGCAACGAAGACAGTCAGGTAGGGACGGGCTCCTGTAAAGGGTTTCAGAAGACAAAAGCTAAGGAAATTCTAAATATATAGGAGAAATGGCATTTGCCATTGCCACTCACTGGAAATCAGATTGACAGGCGGTATCGAAATTCCCAGAGGAAAGAGATCATAAAAAGGGAAAGCGGTGCAAAGGAGGGAAAAGGAGGTAACAGGCAGCACCAGAGGCAGAACCACCCCACGGGTGGAGGGTGTCACAGTGACACAGTGAAGGGAGAAACAGCTGGAGATTGTCCCACCCAAGTGCTGAGCACAAAGGAAGGCTGTGTGTCCTTTCAGGAACTGCCATTTCTCAGGGCTTCTAGGTCCCATTTCCAGCTTGGGCTTCTGGCCCTGCTCAGTCCTGGGGATGAGCTCCCCAGATGACCAAAGCATGCTGATCATTTGTGGCTATTATGAAAGTGAAGGGAGGCTGGGGTGAGAGAGTAAACCAGGTCCTTAGAGAGCCTGTGCAAATCTTTGGAGAGAGATTCCCCCAGTCCTTACAGAAACATTCTAAAGCTAGATGCTATGCCAGTTGTTTTACAACCCTAAAGCAGCTGTGTGAGGCAGCTGAGTTACAGACCTATGAGGAAAAGGGAACAAGGGACAGAGCAGGCAGTAGGCAGGCTGGGAATCTGGACAGAACAGCAAGCCATTTAAAACCCAACAGAGACAAACACACAGAGCATGCTGTACCTACCATATGGCCCATAGGATGGAACAGCTGCATCAGGGACCAGTGGCCAAAGCAAGGGAGAGATAAAAGGGAGAGGAGAGAGAGACAGAGAGAAAGAGAGAGGAAATAACAAGAACTGAACAAGACCCACCACCAAAACATCCCCCACTATACTGGCCAGCAGTTTACCCTTTCAACATCCACAGATCTCATCTCCCCCAGCTGAGGCCACTGTCCTTCCAAAACCTCTGGGGCTGGCTGGGATGGAGGGATCATCCACATGAACACTGCCCAAGGGCTGTTGTCTTCCCACACCTCAGCACAGACTCCCCCCAGCAGGAAGGAACCCCTTTATTTGGAGAACACTGATGGCACTTGTATAGACTGGGCACGAGAACCCTCTTTTGCCAGAGACAACGTCCACCTCCCTCTTCCCTGGAATAAGATTTCTAGCAGCCCAGTCCTCACAAAGTCATTACAGGAAGATCCTTCTCCTCCAAGACAAACATATTGCCACAGCACAGCCTCATCTTCCTGAGCCAGATTCAAAACAGAGCCTTGTTTCAGGCCCTGTCCCTCCTGCCTTCAGTCTGTTGCACAATCTGGAGTGATGGAGTTCCCCTTTGGGGAGAAAGGAAGAAGGACAAACGCACTCTACCAAAAGGATGCAACTTCTCGCAGCCCTCAGGTCTGCAACAAGCTGTCGTGGGTGGCACACTGGGGAACTGAAAAGGGAACAGTGCAATCCAGGCAAGGTTTCTGCCCTGCAGAGCTGTTGCACAATGACTCTGTTCAGACACCACGGAGGAGGGGATGTGATGTTTTTCCAAGCACTCAGGTTAGGAGTCATATCAGTGTGCTGGTTGCTAGAGGGACCAGTCTCCACCCAGTCTGTGCTGGTTTATTTCCTACCTTGGGCATCAAGTCTCTTGTCCACATACACCTTGTATGTGAAGGCATGGCGGAGGGCGATGGCTGCAAAGAACATCTCCACGCAAATGATGAAGTCCTGATACCCGGCAGCTACCGTGCCTTCACCCACAGACACGTTGGCAGAGTGGATTTTGGGAATGGCACCACACTTTTCCAAGATGGCCAACAGCATCCCTAAAGAAAGCAACAAACTCAGGTAAATATGCAGAAAACACAGTCACATACTAACTGCAGGAATGGAAACAGCTGCCTGTGCTGCTGCAAACACATTTAACACAGGAAGTACAGAGCAGGCCAGATACTCCCATCTACGCTCATCTGTACAACAGAGAAAGGAGGAGTAAGTGAGACAAATGTGTGTGAGCACAGATTGTTCAAACGCTGACCCTCTTCTATTCCCAACTGACGCATAATCTGTGGAACAAGCTGCTACAGGACTTCATCAAGTCCAGCAAACTAAGCAGCAGACAAATATTCCTATAAGCACTTCCGTGATCTCAGCACTTCCACTAGCTAGAGCAAAAATTGAGCAGCAGAGCTTTTCATTTATGCACAAAGTGTTTTTGACACACCGCTGCAAGAAAGATGTTTCTCCCTGTCCATAACCAGGTGGCTGAGGAATTCCAGAGAAGGCAGAAAGCACATGACCAGATGGCTCAAGATGATAAACTACACAGCTTATTAGTTTGTCTGTACACAGGAAGGATGGACCATCCTACAACAGCCTAAATTCCACCTAAGTTCCTACTCAATTAGTCTTTGAAATGGCACTTGGTAAACTTAAGTAGGTCATTGAACAGGAAAATGCTTAGAGCCACTGAGTAAGAAGTCCTAAGCTTTGGTGGAATTTCAGCTTTCTGAATGTGCCTCTGCATCATGCGTACATCTCCTGAACGTGCTTCTGCTCCATCATGGTTCTGTGGCAGCACACACTGCATTCAGCCAGGTTGCTGCTTCACGTAAATCACGTCCCATTAAAATTTTATTTACAGACCACTAAAATAAAAGTACTAATATTTTTAGATGTGCCACCTTAATCAATAAAATGGAAGCACACAGATAAAATGTTGGCAGTTTGTGCATTATGACTGTTCCAGGAAAGCAAAGGGCTCTTCATCCAAACAGCTGATTTTGCCAGGCACAGGGACAGTGAGGATTCAGGAGCACAGAAACAAAGATGAAAAATCAGCAAAACAGGTTTCCCAGAGAAAAGCAATGAAAGACTATAAAACATATAATAATCATCATACAGACAGACATTCTGGCTATTAATCAGCATCTGCTCTATCAACTCCAGCGACCGAGCCCCTGCAGAGAGTTCTTTGTGCCTACCAGGGAAGGGAAAGGCAGCTCACCTTGCCAGAAGGACAGGAAGATGACAGACTTCACCATGAAGAACTTGAGGACTGGGCTATAGGGACTGAGCAGCTCACGTGTGGCGAAGTAGAAAAGGAAGAGGGCGTACAGTGCCAGGCTGACAGAGATGTTGTAGATGATCGTCACGTAGAGGTAGCCGCTGGTTACGCTGGAGAGAGAAGATTCACGAATGCCTGAGATTTCAGCATGATCTTTTTCCCTTGTCACCATCACCAGGGAGTAATAAGACTCCATTTCCTTTCTGCCTCCCAGTCCCATTCCTCCCCCAAAACCAAAGTAGAAAAAACCCAAAACCAAGAGGCCTACACCCCTGCCCTTGTGCATATTCAGCCCATGTGGTCTCCCATCTTTTCCCATGGCCCAGCACACACAGGGACCATAAGCTGGGCAGAGGAGGGGCAGCTGAGGCAAACTTGCCAGACAAACAAACTTACTCAAAGTCACCGTCCTGGTACTTGCCGAAGGCCTGAAGGATGACCGTGCTGATGGCCATGAGGGGTTTCACCACACAGAACTGCAGGGTGGCCTGCAGAAACCAGAGAGGAGCAATGAGAAGACAGGAGGTTCAAGAGGCCAAGTCCACAAACAAGCACCATGACAGTGCCTCTACTGGGACAGCACAGCAAGGCAACACAGTCCAGCACCAACAAGGAGTCTGACCCCATCACCTGCTAATCAACCGTGCTTGAGGACTGCAGCACCCAACAGGAGATAAAGGAGATTCAGAAGAAGTACATGTGCTATCTACTTGTTCTTGGGAAGAAAAACCTCCCTACAGGTTGCTCCTAAAAACTGCTCAGCTGCTCCCTTGCAGAGCTGTCTTTCATAGGCTGTGCTGCAGCATGTTTTATGTATGGTAATAGCACAAGAAAAAAAAAATCATCCCACGCTGTGCTATGATATGGACACAACAAAAGGATTTTTAGGGGCACAAAGGGATTAGGTTTAACAAAGGGATACCAAGGAAGGGAAGCAAACTCCAATCCACAGTTGCCATAATGCTAGGCAAGATGGTCCCCTGGACAGGAGGGGAACTCAGCTCTCCGAGGAGGAACTTTGACAACTGCCACCATATTAAGGCACTTTATAAGCACAGCAATGTGTGTCGCCAGACAAAAGTTAAGAGCTATTCTGTTGTCACCCACATGACCTTTATTGAATCTCCCCCAAAGGCTCCATGGCACTTGGGATCAGCTCCATCCATTCTGCTGGGATAAATCACTGCTGCTCTTGGAATAACCTCTCTCTCAAAGCCACCCCATTATTAATCTTCCTGGAGACACTGAACTTCAAGGTTCTAAAGCAGTGGAGGGTTGTGGCCCTAAAAATGTCACCTGTGTCTCCCTGAAGGAGGCTGGAAGAGCCAGGGCAGGTGCTGACCTGTGCACATGTGGGGAGGGCTGTGTATGGAAAGAAGGCAAAACCAAACAGGAAAAATTGCTTTGGATACGATGCAATTTGTTAGTGGTCATAAGACTTCAAGGAGATTAAAAACCCCAGCACATGCCAGTTAGTGAGTCACTGTAAATATGTGAACTGGAAAAGGTCAAGCTAATTGGTAAACAACTCGTTCCTCTGAGCTTCCCCTCCTTCCAATCTGGGGATGTTTTAACCATTTCCCTGCAATCCAAACCACCACATCCTATTTTTAGCTGCTTCCCTAGAAGATGCTGGTTTGTACGGGAAGCACATGGATGGTGCGTGACCCATCTGTGAGGGTCACCAGACACAGACCCAGCAAAGAATCTTGACCAAGCCATCCTTTAAGGCAACAAGCTGCCCAGATTTTACACTGCAGCCACCAGCACACTACTGGACTGCTGGAGGGCTGCAGGCAGTGCAGAAAGACTGACTGACCCATACCTGCCTGAGAACAGCTGGGGGGTGAAGATGGATAGAAGAAATGGTTGTAACACACAGATCCCTTGAGGATGAAAAGAGCAGAAAACGAGCAGGTGGTGGTGGGAGGTGGTGACACTGAGAGCAGGGACAAAATGGGCAAGGTGCTCCTTCCAGCACGTTCCTCTTCTTGATCATCACCACGATGGACACTGCACTTGGATGGTGCACAATGGTGGATCAGCACTGAGATGCACTCTGTTGCCCTTTTGCACTAGACCTTCCCAGGAATTTGCCTGGAAAGGTCTTCCTCGACAACCCTGGAAGTCCAGAAGTACCAGAAAGCGAGTCTGTGTGTCAAAGATTCCTCACCAAGGCAACATTTAAGCTCGAGCCAAGAAGGACAGAAGTATTTAAACATCCCTTTGCAAGACACCTCCCTCACAGCCTCCACAGCAGACTTAGCAGCTCACAAAGGGCAGGCCTGACTAGTAAAGAATTGCTGCCAGACAGCAGCAAAGGAAAAACATAATATCCACCTAAGCCAGTGTTACCAAATGAGCCAAGGATTTGCAGAAGCCAGCAGAACCCTTCTGTCCCCCAACAAGATGCTTCTGGTCTTCATTGTTGTGAAAAAACTTTCCAAACACAGCCACGTGCAACCCATGTGGAGATAACAGCCAGAGGCTGTGAGACACATGAAACAAGAGGTCTAAGGGAAATAATTTCTCCAGCACTCATTCACCTTCATGGGTGTTACATCTGCTTTATTTGAGAGGTAAAAGTTAGCATTAGGAGCAAAAATAATAAGTAATGCCTCAAAACAAACAATGAAAGTACAAGTGAAGCCCAAGAGAACAGGCGAAGCAGCATACTGGGAGTGGATTAGAAAATAAAGTATCAGGGAAGAAAACAAGAAAGCCATGAGGCCAGAATATGAGAAAAGAGAGATGTGGTCCTTTGAAAAAGGTCAATTGTGCTGCAGAGATTAAGACTGGATGTTACTGTGAGGCTGCAATGTACTTTTGACGTTCCTGCATATTGCTAAAACAGAGCAGATGGGTCATGATGTGAAGGGCAGGTATCTAGACCCAGTGACTGCAATTACAAAGACCTGAGACCTTATTTAAGAACCAGACCTGCTTCACGCTGTCTCCAGAGGTGACTGACCCAGGACAAGCTGGACAGACAAGAGCTGTATCAAGGTTTGGATCATCCCCATGCCCTGCCCCTTGACATCTCCAGTTCAGCACAGACAAACACACACGGTGAGCAATACTGGGTTCCTCCTACAGAGCGTCGTGTCACGCTGACCCTCCACCCCCTCCTCAACTCCAAACCACAACAGCAGCACTGGGAATTCAAGGGGCTGTTACACAACTGTGGAGTGTCTGCAATACCACACAGCCATCCATTTCTTAAAGCTGGGACCTCTGCAATCCAGAAAGGGAAGAGGAAATCAGAATTTCTTCTCAGGGCAAACATCAGAACCAGGAGATACTATGAGTTTTTTGCTAAGGCCTTTCCGATGCAGGGTTAAGTGGTAAACTTTAAGATCATTCAATACAAACAAACCCCAAAACACCCCCTCTTCTCAGCAGTCTGCAGACTTCTCAAAATGATATTATAAACCCCCTCAAAGAAGTGCTCATCTCAGAAGTTCAGCAGCAAATGGCACCACTGCCACCCACACACACTTCATTCACTTCTAGAGGATGGCACAGCTCCTCCAGCCCGTACCTGTTTGCAGAACCTCAAGAAGCCAATTGAATAGGTCTTCCCCCACAGGCAGCAAGTCCCATATATGCAGCTGGACCTGAAAGAGCCAACACAAGATGACAGGGTTCAGAAGCAAGATTTGAGCTAGAGTGCAAGATTCCTACCCTCTTTGACTCTCTGTTGCAAAGTTGCAGGCCTGGTGCTTTCTCCAACCATAATTACAGTTACAGCCATACCCTCTTTCACAGACATGTTTAAAACAACATCCTGACTCCACACTCCAATTTTTTTAATTTAGTTTTTTTAAATCTGAGTAGCATGGGGAGAAACACAGCCCCTGGAGGAAGCACACCCATCCAACTAAAGACAGAAAAGATTTGAAGGAGAAGGGAATAAGAAAAATGACAAAGGAGTAGGCAGGTGTCCAGAGAAGCTGTGAATCAGTCCAGCTTGCTAAAGAGGATGTGATCAGCCCGATCTGTCTCAGAGGAAGGGACTGGTAAATCATCACCACCTATGCTGTCAAGTCCCAGCAGTCATTTGCCACCTGACACAGTTTTTCAGGGCAAGGACAGAGGTACAGTAGATGGGCACAGAAGGATGAGAGTGTCATGCTGTAAGCAGACTAAATACTCACTCAATTGGTTTCCCTCTGATCTCAGACATGATGGAGCTCTCCCCTCCCAAGTACTCATAGCAGAGGCTGAGAAAGTTGTATATTACAAAGGCTGCAAAGACATCAAGCAGAGTAAAATGACAATCAACCTCAAACCAGGTGCAAGGACCAAGTCTACAGGCAACAGACCAAACATAAGCAGGGACTGCTTACGCAGCACCTTTCCCTTCAAAGCGCTCCAGACTATTTTCACTGCGTTTATCATCCTACCTCAGCACTCACAAGACCATCTGAGCTGGAGCTTGGCCAAGGTCCCCGGTCAGTTCTGCAACTCATGCCGAAAGGGTCACAGGACCATTTAAAACCCTTGTCAGTCTCTGTTTTGCTTGGCGTCTGTGGGATGGCATTCTTTACAGGGTTCCTGAGTATTATTCCAGGACATGACACCAGTACTACATAATTTGGAAAAGTTATCTCTGATTTATCAATCGTATCTCATCTCCTGTATTTAACCTTTCAGGTGATGAACACAGTTTCTCTCGCTGAGCTAACCAGACTGTAGACGTAGGAGTTAGAGAAACAGAGGATTTTTATCAATCAGTGAAGCTCCGTTTTCATGTCTGGTGAGATTTTTGAAGGGAAAAAACAACCAAAAAACCCAAACCACACCCAACCAAACACCCCCCCAGACAGACACTGTGCTTCATTTCCTCAGAAAGCTGAAATTTCTTGCGTACTGAACAGCCCTCTCCTTCGGCCACCCCTTTTCTGCCTTCCCCAGCAACCTAGTACAGACAAGGAAGAGCCCCGTCAGACTGACTGCTAGCACTCAGCCAGGCTCACTTTTGCCGATACGTATAAACTGCAGTGAAGACACTGAGAGAGGGCTCTCATCATAACTACAGACACGTTTCCTTTTCATGGGATCCAAATACACTTAACTGTGCATTGGCCAAGTGCCGGGTCCTGCACTTCCGTTGC